TTCATCAGCGAGAATTTAAACCTTATGTGGTACGATTAGCAAAACTCCTTCGGAAAAGGGCAAAGGTATTTATTACATTTTGTCTTATTTTTTGTAACTACCTGTATATTGGTGAGGCTCTTGTTAAATGCTTAATGGGAAACTGAGATGATATCAAGTTGAACTATTTTGGAAAATTTTCCCAGCTTTGAAAATTCATGTCCATGATCCAAATATTTCCAGATATTGAAAGAAAAATAGTGCATTTAAAAAGGACATTTATCATAATAATCTAAAAATAACCCATGAACAGGAAGCAATTCACATATGTAAAACCCTGTGCACCTTTTGGCAGCTCAACTCCAAGCCTGCTGTTCGACAGGTTCCCACGGGTCACTTTCAGTCTGACCAGGGAGCTTTGCACACTGGTGCCTGCCTTTTGAGAGAGAAAAAAATGTTTGAAATCTGAGTATACCTGGGGTACTTCTCAGTCAGTGGATACAATAGGTTTTAAGTTTAATAATTAGCCTTATGACACTGTGGGGGCTACATATGCCTTTGATAAAAATTCCATGTACTTCTGAGTAGCCACGTCCTATGTATAGATAATGGCCAACTTTTCACGTATTCTAACATCTTTTAATTCTACCATTGGAAAGGCCTGGGGAGTATGAAAACTGGTATGATCGATTTGTATACCACCTCCCACCCCAAACTTTTACTTTAAAATTATTTTTATGTCTTTCATCTTTTTAAAAAAGGAAATGGGTTTGTAGATTACTGACATCTGGCTTAAAATGTTTTCCCTGCAGTAGTAAAAAAAACTTGGGATTACATAAGCACTTAACATTATAGTCTTAAAAAATATTCCGTCTCAACAAATGGGTATGTACACCCCTGAGATTCATCTTTACGTGCTGTGATGAGAAACAGCAAGATAAGGGTCGATTGGCGAAAATACAATGCTAAGGGGATTTTTAGAATAAAGCTGATTTTAATGAGTTAAAGTTTTCAATGAGTTAGATTTACTTTTTTAAAATTTGGCAGTCATAGTTCATAATCCATAAAAGCAATAATCATTAACAATTGGTTTATCAGTTTGCAGTAAAATCTGTGAAGTGTATTTTCTACGTCATTGTTTTTCACTTTATTCTGACCTGCAGTACTCAATAATTTCAGATTGCAATCCAGTGTAGCCATGTGACTGCACATGATGTTTCTCACAGAACAGTACTCCCCAGAGCTGTAAGATATGCAGGTTTTCTTTTATAGAGCTCCTTTAAAAACAACACTGATCAGGATTCATTTTAAAAACACTAGATTAACCTCTCTCCAATAGAAAGGCAGTGAACGACTCTGAAAGTATCTTTCAGAGCAATTCCACAATGGGAAGCGTGGGAGGGAATTTACTGAAAACATTACCCCACACGGTTCCAAGAGTCCCTCTCACCACGTGTGGTTCCACTCTCCAGCTTCCACGACGGTGCAGACAGCTATAGGCAGAACGTTACGAGGAGTAGCGCGGTGAAATCTCATGCTGTCACCCATTCTCCATGATCATCCCTTTGTCCTGCATATCCATGTTATATACCCTTACCTGCCTAGTTGCTGTTAATCTACTGTGCCTAATTTCGTGTGAGAAAAATGAAAGTACCCAGACTAACACAGAGGCTGTCCCTGTAAAGATTTACAAAGCCTCGGAAATTCTATATAGGGTTGCTATGAGTCAGAATTGACTTGATGGTAGTAGGTTTGCGTTTTTAATTGGTGCCTACTGTATGATTTAAACTTTATAGGTAGGCAGTATAGAACAGAACATAGTGTGCAGGGTTTGGTATTTTCTGTGGTTTCAGGTGTCCTCCAAAGGTGAGATGTACTACTTTATACCAAAGCCCTGGTGGGCGTCCAGTCACTTCCAGCTCAGAGCAGAAGTAGCCCATCTTTTGGCCCAGAGCAGCTAATGGATTCAGACCCCGGGCCTTTTAACTAGCAGTCAAGCATTTGACCACTGTGCTGTAGTACTCCAAAATGTAGAGGATAAAAGATTTAAAAATATCTTTTATATCATGTTTTTGTACCTTAAATGTTAGTGTGAAGTAGCTAATCTAATTAAAGCGTTTCTGCCCATCAGTAGGCCTTTTTCGTAACAAACATTTTGTCATGTTTCTCTTGCATTCACAGTTTCTCAGAAGTAGAATTGTAGGGTCACCCAGGCTGTTTCGTGAGCCCTGGTTTGTAATATGTGCTTTGATTGCTCAGAAATCTCCCCATCTGTTGGAGTCACTTGGGCCGCAGCTCTAAGCCGCATCCCACGAAAGAAGGCAGTGGAATGGAAGCACTGAGATGAGACAGTGCCTGAAGGACAAGAGGAACTCCATTCAGAATGCCGGTTGCTTTGTCGGGGGCTGAGATGAGGGGAAAGCTAGGCACAGATCCCTAGGACCTTTGCACTTAGATGTGACTATCTGGAAAAGTAAGTGTCAGCAAACCCTTGGCAGTGGACTGCAGGCCCTTGGTATCTGTCTATCCCCTGCATCTCATTGGTTACGAGACTTTTTGTAAGCCGTCCTCTTTTTTGTCCAAATCCTGCCTCACAGCATAAGAAGACTGCTGTGGTTAGAAACCATTCCCCCATCCAAGTCACTTTAAACAAGGTCTTCATGGCCAAGCATACTTTCCCTGGAATAAAGGCTATGAGTTCTCCTCTTTCCTTCCACAGGACAAGGAGGAGGACTTTAAGACAGTGATTGTGGAGGGATTGGAGATGGCCAAGCATCAGGTGAGGGTGGCTTTTTGATGCTTGTGATACAGCGGCAAATGCTGCAAATCTGGACCAGACACTGAGGCACAAACCCAGGTCTGGATCTCAAGTGTGCGAGAGGGAGGAAGCCCTTTTCAAGGGCAGAGCTGTGAAGACAAGAGAGAAATGGCTTGCATGGTGCATGTCTGATTTTTTTTTTTCTATTGAGGAGGCGGTACAGTTCTAAGTAAGGCCAGCTGATACAAATCCCATTGTTAAAGGCACAGAATGACAGGCATATATTTGAGAAAGTGTTCCGGCAGAATTCTCTATGTAGATGGTTCAAGCGTATTCATTCACCATGTTCTCTGCGTCTCTGCTTGTTGCTTAATTTCATCGGAGCTGGTTCCCAGTGTGCAGAGTGGGCCTGCACCCTAGGGGTTTTAGGACTGGCACATTTCTGAAGCTGAGCACCAGGCCTCTCTTCCAAGGGACCTCTGGGTGGGTTGTGAATTGCCAAACTCCTAGCTAACTAATAGTTCAGCACCTAGCCTTTTGTACAGCTCAGGGGCACCCTGCTGCTTACCGTTTACATAGTTTGGTTTAGGGAACTAGGAGTGGTATAATCAGGCAGTGGTGGTGTCAGTATGCGTAGGGACTTCAAAAATTCATGGAAATGGTAGGCGGTGGTGATTGTTTTGGTGTCTCCTGCGCTCTTCTGTTTTGTCTTATTTTACTCCCTCCAGAACATTTCAGCAACACCTGGCCTTAGAAGGCAAACTCAGCATTTGGTTACAAATCTGACAGATGGTAATCCTGTTTGCTGGTTCTTTACCTTGTTATTTGGTGGTTCTGCCTCAGTACAAACGTATCTGTTTTTCATGATCTTTTTGTAGTAATTGATTGCCTAGAGTCTGCTTATGTAATTTGGTTGACTTCTTAAAATAGCCTCTCAATTTTTAGTTGACAGTTTCACGTGCGTTCTCATTTGACTATTCCATGGTCGCAACCTGTACGTATCTTTCCCAAAGATACCACAGAGTAAATGGCAGTGCCATGACACTAACCAGGAGTTTAACACCAGGTCCAAGTTCTCCGCTGCAGGTGCTCCCTGGGGAAGTCCTTTGCTTGTGCTGCAGGGCTAACATGAACCGCTCATGTCAGCCCCGCTGTCATCTTGTGGGAAGTGGTCTACTTACTGATAGTGACACGTGTGAAGTCCTCTCGATGCTGCTGCTGTAGTCGTTTAGTGACCTAGAACTACGGGAGCTCTTCGAGCACATGCGAAGCACAGCACAGACTATCGTGATGTGTCTGATCCCTGCTGCGGGTCTGGAGGGCACACTGAGACGCCATCGTTTACATTCCGCGTGAGCTATGATTAGTGCTGAGTCAATACTGACTTGCTGGCAGTTTCCAGTGTACTTCCTCCTATGTTGTTAACTGTTTGTTTTTGCAGAAGAACCTGGAGGAGGACAACTCGGGGAGAACGTTGGGTTGGGAGCCGGGGCACTTGTTGCTCACCGTGTGCACTGTGCGCAGTATCGAGCAGCTCCTGCCATTCTTCAACGTACTCAGCCAAGTCTTCAACAGCAAAGTCACGAGTCGATGCGCAGGACACTCGGGGAGCCCCGTCCTCTACTCAAATGCCTTCCCTAATAAGGACATGAAACTGGAGAACCAAAAATCATTTTCCAGCAAAGCCAGGCAAAAAATAGAAGAAATGGTAGAGAAGGATTTTCTGGAAGGGATGATAAAAACTTGAGCCACAAGTGACTCCATTTAGCCTAAATGTAAATTATTGAAAACACTGCTCTGAGTTGTATAGTTTTTGTTTTATATGTAACAAAACACACTTCAGGTTGTATTTAATTTAAATACGTGTAAATAAGAGCTAATGTCTGAATGTGGCCTGAGAGAGATCTATCTATACATATATATATATATATATAGTCCATTGTTTTATTGTCCTAAGTTGTCTTAAACCTGCAAAATACACACTGCACATTTTTTCTATTGGTCTCAGGATTTGTTTAATTTAAACCAACGGGGTATTTATTTTTCTTTCCATCATTAACAATGTTCTATCATCAGAACACTACTACTCCACCAGAAAACTTGGAATTACAAGTCCAATTTTCTCCCACTGAGGACTGGAACCTGGGCATCAAATAGGTAAGTCTTCCATAATCATCCTAACGATTCGGCTATGTCCACAGGTGGTGACTACTGCAGGACAACATTTAGTTAAACGTAACGACAGGAAAAAAATTGCCAAGAGTTAATAAATAAGCTTTTATTTTCTAGCAACTGTCAATGACTGGATCCAATACTTACCTCAAATTTGAGGTAAGTTTTTTTCTTTTAAAAACTGAAGTATAAGGCTTACCTATGTCTAACGAATTATTCTAGTAGTGTTTTAGTAAAAAAACATTAAAAATATCCAGCATCTCAGGATAAATTGTCTTCAGAAACTTGGTTGGGGTCTTTCTTCAACTCCTCCAGCCAGCTGAAAGACAGCCAAGCTTACTTCATGTGCAAGGCTGTCTGCACTTTCCTGCAAATCACAGGACAGGAGATTAGAAGACACAATATCTGCCACGTGTAAAGCTAGGGAGGGGAGAGTGTTTTATATGGAAGTCAGGTCAAATTTCCCTAAGGGAAGCTCCTAGTTCATTCTGATTGTATCTATTTGTCATCACCAGGATTCATTACTGCATTCCAGAACTGGAGTGCCACTCTACTTTGCCCCAGCTGTGTTACTTAACCTTAAATTCTTGGTAACACTCCCAAGAGACAAGATGGAACAAATGATAAAAACCCAGACCAAAGAGGAATTTGAAAACAGCATGATTTAGAAAGAGACCACTGAGTTGGTTATTTTCAGTCATAGAAAAAAAATACATAGAATGTGAAGGGCATTGTCTAACATTGCTTTCTCTCCCCAATAGTGTTATTCCCCGCTCTCATGTCTTAAGTCTGTACAGTGACAAGGAGACTAGTTTTTAGAACTATCACAGCTTACTTGAGAATCTGCTTCTGCATACACTCGAACTACATCTTCTGTTCCAGAGGGCCGGACAAAAGCCCGGGAAAGTCTGTACTTCTTCACCAGACCATCGATTGCATCCTGCAGTCCTGGGGGTGTAAGTGCCTGTCTTTCAGCATCGGTGGTACTAATAACTTGCCTGTCTGCAACCTACAGCACAAGTATTTTGTATTTATTACCATATATAACAGGAATTTTACACAGTGTGAATTATCAGGGGAAGCAGAGCATAAAATTCCATGAATAATCTCAGCATCCATTGCCACCATGTTGATTTGGAATGTTTTCTGTGCCATAGGCAGCTCTTTCAAATAACCTTTTGAAAATAACCTGTTTTATCAAAGGGCCATGAGTTCTCAAAACGTGCTAAAAGCTTATCTGAACACTCAAATAGTATTTCTGAGAACTCACCAAGTCTAGTGGATGTATAAGCCCGAAGAGGAGAAAATTTTTTCTCAATAGATGTTCTTTCTATTGTGCCCACTTGCTCTGCCTCTAGCTTTACAGAATACTCTGCAAGGAAAGGGTAATGCAGGCAGAGGAAAGATGTGCACTTGTAAGGACAAAGCACCACAGATTCACTTCAAACTAAGTTGTGGTGGTGAGATTTTGAGCAAGAGTTGAATAAAGCTATTTTTAAAGTTATGCATTATTCATAAGCACTAGTCACACAATTGTTAAGTAAATTTAATGTGCCATTACTCTTAGCTGTTCTGCTTTTTTACCGTGAGGAAATACTGAGTCAGTAGAGTGGGCTGTTTCCTACATGTATATGTGTCTGAAGAGCACGCAGTATGACTCGACTGGAAAAGATTTAGAAGTCATTTAAGAATCTCTCATACCTTAACTTTGAGTTGTCTGTTTGGAATATCCGTATAGAGAGCATCCCACTGTTGTACAGTCATGCCCTTTAAAGCTAAAATTGCTTCAATCACCAGCATGTCAGAAATAGCATCACCAATTGCCTGTCAGATGGGAAAACAGAAGAAACCACTTAGAACACCAGCAAATCTTCATTGTAAGTAGTCTGTCTCAGCAAATCATAGGGTCTTGTGCAGGCACGATAGTACTGAAACCAGCTCTCTAAGACACTTACCTTTAGCATCTCAACCTGTTTAAGATGTGTTTAGAGTAAGTTCCCTTTCAGAGATCCTAGAAATACTATATCCAGAAGTAAAGTTTTGGCACAAGATACACTTACTGATTCTAAGCTTTTGTCTGTTCATTGAATAAACGCTTTTCATTGTTATAGTCAAGTATCAGCTCCATTTTTCCTGTCCTATTTCGCTTTGCTAACCCCTACACTCAATAGTTTTAAATGAATCTCAATGGAGTCAGGGCACCTGAAAATTTTCACCCAATTTCAGCATCCATCTCAATGGTACATGAAACTTGTAAGGAAAGCGCCAGGGCTTATCCTGTCATTCAACACAGCAGACTCCATTCTCCCTCAGATGAGTAACAACAGGGACCAAGCATTCACCACCACTCCATCAGGTCTTACCTGGTTAAATAGGTCAATAATGTTTTCAAGAATCTGAGCAGCTTTCCTTTTATTACCTTCTAGTTCCTGTGCTAGTTGTCTTATCTTCATTTCAGCAACTTTACTAAATAATACCTGCAATGAAAGTAAACACATCAGCCCCAACTGTTAAATACTAACATTCTTGGCAGCTTTCTTAAATATGAAATTTAAAAACGTAACAAGATAATACTATTTCTTTCCCCTACACACACAAAACCAGTTTTAATCTAAAGTTCAAACCATTGATTACACAAGGCAAAAGGAGAGCACACGGCATAAATTCATTGTGTTTGTTCCTCATCCAGCCGAGGCCTCACTGCAGTCATTGTACTGTGAAGTGTATCATTCATTGCAACTAATTCAGTTTATTGACCTATTTTTTTAAGGATAGAAGCTAGGAAAAGAGCTCATTTTTACTGATTATGGCAAATGGTTCCTACATCAGTTTGGAATTCCTTGTCCATGCTTTATTGCTCTCAAAATGTCGAATAGCATATGAGATGGAGCTTCTAAATATTCATGGAACATTTTCATTTATTGATTTGTCCACTGACTTGCTAAACTACTAGGTGAAAAAGTTGTGTCTGATCAAGGAAGGTATGGTAAACTAAGGGGCCAGGACGCCACGTGTTTGGAGAAGTTTTATGAGAACACGGCTACACCTACTCATTCACATGAGGCGGGCAGAGAACGCGGACTTAATGGTCCAGGAAGTCGAAAACATTACCAACCCCTGGACTGGATCATTGAAAGTGTTTTAATTGCATTTTTTAGGAACTTAAATTCCTCTTAGATTTATGGCTTCCAGGGGCAGTGTCTAACTAGGACACCATCTGGCTTAGATTCAGATTTTTTGTTGAATACCTCAAAGCCACTTAGAAAACAAGGCATAAAAGCGTTTTTTAAAGAGACTCTGAACTTTGAGTACACGAAAACTCAGGGAACAATATAATTAACATACTGTGTAATACTTTAATTACACAGTATGTTAATTATGTTATAAAATATATTTTTAGAAAATTCTCTGCATAGATCTATAAAAAACCTCATGTGCTTTTCATCACAACTGCTTTTCCCACCTATGGCCAGTTGAAGAAAAATATAATATATAGACAGTCTAGTTATAAGAAAATTAAGTGCATCTAATAAAAGTAAATGGGTATAGTCTTGAATATTCAATCTAAATGAGAATTTCATAACAAGCATAAGATGAACTACAATCTTTCAATCACCATCCCAATCATTTCATGAAAGGAGACTATTACCTAGCACAACTCAAATACAGATGACCCCTCATAAAGAAAGTGCTTAAAAGAACTCACTGTGCCATGGCCATTTGCTTCAAAATAAATTCCAATGTCAAACTCTTGAGCCTTGTGGTGCAAGTGTTTCACACCAGTTTTAGTACAATAGACAGGTACCTATAATAAACAAATGTAAAGAACCACAGTGACAATTCAGTCAGCACATTCCGTCTACCTGTTACCTCCGAGATGCAAAAGGGATCGGAACCTTCCTACTCTTAGTCTAGTGGAAGAGAAGTAGGCAATGAATGAGCTTGCAGTGTGTGGTCAATGGTGGTGTTTGTGTGCTGAGGAAGCACCCCAAACAATCCAATTATGAGGACCCCGGCCCCCATGGGTTTCAGTGGTCTATTTTACAATTCGATCCCAGACTTTCTTCCAAGACACCGCTGGAACTTGAGCCACCAGGCATGTGACTGATGGGGGGTGTCCCTTAGGATTACCAGTGGGAAAGACATGTGTTTTAGAAACTCACTTTTCATTATGATGTGGAGAATAGCCTACAGCCAGCTTACAAGATTTTTCAATAAAGGCCCACAGAGTACAAAGTAAGGTTTTCAGCCTATAGGCGGCTTTTCCAACTACACAACTATGCCAAATGACAGCAGCCACAGACAATTAGAAAAGATTAAGGACGGCATAAATCCATGCTTACTCAAAACACCTGGCAGCCCCCAAGATGACAACCCTCAGTCATCCTTGAAACCTTGAACTGTGCCCACTCCAGGACATCACCCTCAGCCACACAACAGGCCTCAAGAGCGAACAGCACCCCCAGTGAGGAGTGTGCCCCTCAGAACTCTGACCACACAGCCCCAAGGCAGGAAAGAGGTGAACGGAAATGCCCCCAAGGAGGAGGTGGGAAGGCTGCTGTTACACAGAGAAGATGGAAACAAACTACAACCTGCTGAAAGGAAAACGGATTTGCTATTTTATAAACATTGACTCAAACCACAATAAGATGCTCAGGAAACAGAAAAATAGATGGCAGCTTAAATCTGATTTCTGGGGTCATAGCTTGCCAACCGCTGGCTTAGCAGAAGGTGAAGGGACCAGTTTTAGATTTCTAACACAGCTAACAGCGGCTAACTAACGTGCTGGAGGTTCAAGTCCACCCAGAGGCACCTTGGAAAAAGCTGATCTCAACAGCCAGCCACTGGAAACCCTAGAGGAGCCAGGTTTGCTCGGATCAACACGGGCCAGCGTTGAGTCAGAGCGAGTCAATGGCTAGTGTTTACTGGCGAAGCCTAATCCTAGTACCAAAGCTGGGCTAGCGACACCGCTAAGAAAAGCCAGGGCAGATCTGAAGTGTGAGAACAAAGAAGAATCACTAGAAAAGGGGACAAAGATCAAATAGGATGAATATCTTCTGGGATTTAGGAGAAATTGTTTTGAATACAGTTTAATATATAATCCTGCCTAAAAATATCTAAGACAGAAAACTAGTACTAAAAAATGAAACAAAAGGAGCTGAGAATCTTGGTGGAAGGCAGGCAGCTGATAAGAGTCCTTTGAGTCCATCGAAGTCAGTTTTACAAAAAAGTAAAAATGTTTAAATCAGACCACAAGCTAACAGACTCCAAATATTTTATTTTGCTTACTATTTTTTTTAAACCCTTAGTCTTTGGCCCAAATTTTAAAAGTAGGAAATACACAAGAAAACTCTTATTTCCACCTTCTCATGAAGAATCTGATAAGTACCAAAGCTGACAGCCACCAGCCTGACTCCTGGGCAAACTCCTCAGAGCATGGATTCACCTACTTTACTCATTCGTGTCTGTGTCTACACTTTAAAAAATGCAAGACGTTTCAAAAGGATGCACAGAAATTGAGAACACTAATGAGAAAAGGCAAAACTCCATGCCCCAAGGAGACAGTAACTCTTTTGTGATGTGTGCTAGTGTGTGGTGGCCATACCTGTGTGTTGCTGCAGGGGCAGGGAACTATTGCTTCTAGCCCACACCTCCAACTCCAAAGATCTTTCCCTGCATGGGACTTACAAGATTCACCTGAGTCCCTGAATAGTTCCCTGGAATGCCATCCTGCTGCATATGAAATGAGCCCTCTGAGAAGCAGGAGATTGATCTCATTACTAGCTAGAGCTAGGGGAGGAACACACCCTCTGACCTGAGATTCCTGAGCAGTGAGCATCCTGGACCCAGAAAACAGCTATGACATCACAGGAAAAGCAGCAGAATCAAAGCAAAACTAGACTGCCCAGCCCACAGAACAAGGAAAGCTGAGTGCTTCTGGCAAGAGGGTGGGCTTTGTGGTGTGGGGTGCCTACGGGAACTTAATTGGGGGAGCTAGGCTTACTGACCCACAGAAGCGGAAAGGGGTGCCTTTGGGCTGAGGCTTACTCGGAGTGGGGTGCCTCTGGGCACTAATTCAGGGAGTGGGGTTTGCTGACCCCAAAAGCTTGAGCTGAAGGCTTTCGAGTTGAGGCTTACAGGAGAATGGTATGTCCTTTGGGGCATTACTGTCAGCCCTGAAAGAACTTGTAACACGTCCTGATGAACAACTCTATTGTGAGCCTCTCTCGCTCGCATTAAAACTTTAAAAAAAAATCATTTTATTAGAGGCTCATACAACTCTTATCACAATCCATCCTTACATCAATTGTGTAAAGCACATTTATACATTCATTGCCTTCGTCATTCTCAAATCATTTGCTCTCCACCTAAGTCCCTGGCATCAGCTCATTTTTCCCCCTCCTCCCTGCTCCCCCCTCCCTCATGAACCTTTTATAATTTATATTTTGTCATATCTTGCCCTGTCCTACGTCTCCCTCCACCCACTTTTCTGTTGTCTGTCCCCCAGGGAGGAGGTCACATATAGATCCTTGTAATCGGTTCCCTGTTTCCAACCCACTCTCCCCTCACACCACTGGTCCTGAAGGGATCATCCACCCTGGATTCCCTGTGTTTCCAATTCCTATCTGTACCAGTGTATGTCCTCTGGTCTAGCCAGATTTGTAAGGTAGAATTGGGATGAGAGTGGGGGAGGAGGAAGGATTTAGGAACTAGAGGAAAGTTGTATGTTTCATTGTTGCTACATGGCACCCTGACTGGCTCGTCTCCTCCCCAAGACCCTTCTGTAATGGGGTGTCCATTTGCCTACTAATGGGCTTTGGGTCTCCACTCTGCACTCCCCCTCATTCACTATGGTAAGATTTTTTGTTCTGATGATGCCTGATACCTGATCCCTTTGACACCTCGTGATCGCACAGGCTGGTAGCTTCTTCCATGTGGGCTTTGTTGGTTCTGAGCTAGATGACCGCTTGTTTACCTTCAAGCCTTTAAGAGCCCAGATGCTATATCTTTTGATAGCCAGGCACCATCAGCTTTCTTCGCCACATTTACTTATGCACCCATTTGCATTAAAACTTTTTAATTTCCTTAAGAACTCCTTTCATTATGAATATTGTCCAAGTTCTATGTACCCATTGAAATGTATATTAGAACATAGATATAGAAGTAGAAAATACCAGTTAACACAACAGGAGCCCTGGTATTGTAGTGGTTATGCCTTGGGCTGCTAACCACAAGGTCATTAGTTCTCCGCAGGACAAAGACTTTCTACTCTCATAGGGTTAGTCTCAGAAACGCACAGGGGCATTTCTAGCCTGTTCTGTGGGATCACTAAGAGTTGGAATGGACTCGATGGTGGCAAGTTTGAGTTTGTGAGAGACTTAACACAGCAGTTACTAGAAGATATTCTGTATGTTTTATATTTCTCTAATTTGTTTCTCCTTCCCTAATTATTTCTTCTTTAACTCAACTTCTATGAGGAACAAGTATAAAAAACAACAACAGGTCAAGACAAACAAATGTCCAGGAACTCCTAACTCTAGAGCACCAATGCAGAGCACAATGTGGGGGCATGGGGGGAATAATCAGCAACAAAATCTCTTGCCAACCCAGAAAACCTTTCAGGAGAGGAAGGGGGGAAAAGTTTCTCATGGACTAAACATTAAACCAGACAGTTGCATCACCTGCAATCTAAGAAGGCAGGTACAGGCCATGATACCCATGTCATGATTAAAAAACTAATCTGAATGTCACGAGTCCTGATGGCACTGCCGTGCCGTTGGGTAAGCCACCAGGCTGGCAGCTCACACCAGCCACTGCTGTACAGGAGAAAGACAGCTTATCTGCTCCAATCAAGATTTACAGCCTCCAAAATTCTGCAGAGGGTTGCCATAGAGAACTTGGAAGCACCACTTGTCACCCAGTATATCGTAAATTCCCTTGGTAACTGGAGTGGCCCTCTGTGTTAGCTACTTGCCCTTATCCAAAGGAGTGATAAAGCTTCTCATCCATCTATCCGTTAGTTATATTAGAAATTTTCTTCACAGAAAGATCTTGATAGGTTAAGAAACTTCAAAAAAATAAAAAATGCTTTCATACCTTCATCACTTCTTCAAGATATCTTGTTGAGCTTCCATTTGCATACGCAGTTTGTATAACACCAACCTTCAAATCTTCTCCAATCTAAACAAAAGCAATACTTAACTTGCTATCAGAAATAAGAGTCTACAAAAGTGAATATGTGAGAGCTCTGGAGGATGATATAAAACCAACAGCCAGTTCAGGCAAGCCTTTGTTTATGATGTACTAAATAACCTACTGAAAATTTGCCTGTAAACCAGAGAAAAGGCTAAACTGTATGGGATTCTTGATAAAGTGCAAAGACTGGTATGTACACTCATCTTGGGATCTCTCTTTTGTTTTAAAAAATGGATTGAATCTTTGAAATAAAATACTTTTACAAAGTTATAATGATTTCCTATTATAGACTAAAGCCAACGAGAACGCTATTTCCAAAAGAATAAAACACCTCATATTACAAAGCTTATCATCATAATAAATCTTTCTGGTTAGATGAGATTTTCTGTTTAGATCTGAGGCTTCGGGGAGTAATGAATGGTAGAACTCTCTTTGAAGTGTCAGTGATGAAAATAAAGTTAAAACTTAGGAAGCTTCACATCCTAAGTTTGCCACTATAAGAAATCAAGAGTATCTCCGCTGCAAAGCCACTGTCCAATGCCGAAATGATTGGGATTATCACTCCTTTCTGTACTTCCTAGCCACAAACATAAGATTTCCACAAATTGTGCCTTTTAGATATTCAAATGACTGCTAGGAATGATTTCACTCGTTAAGTCTTGTTTTCAAGGCCCCCGTCACCCCACCATACCTCCAATAGAAGCTCTTTGAGGAAACTGCTAATGAGCGTTGCTATTTTGTCTCCATCTATGAGATGAAAGTGGCCATCAGCATCTCGGTAGTAATAAACAATTCTGTCTGCATCGCCATCAAAGGAACAGCATCTTTCATTGGGCTTCATTTCCATTCCTAGCACACACGACATCATTTCATTTCATTTCACTCAATATAGTAAGTTTTACATTTTTCTAATATCACTTACTAGGGAGACTTTTCAATAAACCAGGGTAGCTTACCTCACATGTTGCAACTAACATGTCTTCCAATTTTTTTCAAGATATTTAAAATTATCCTTCCATGTAGAATACGTCTTACTCTTTAAATGCTGTACATGTTCATTGGTTTTCAACGGTCATTTTAACAATAAATTGAAAATAAGAACATTCAAAATTGATGTTAAAGCTCACTATAATACTACTATTAAAATGACATCTTTTAAGTCAATTAGTTAGGACAGGTTTCCAGGGCAGGTTTACAGGTACTTTCTTAATGCAACTTACCTAGTGGTGTGATATCATAGATCGATAGGGAGGTAAGTAGATAAGGCTTCTAAGAGTTCATGAAAAAAATCCCATTATCTTTTCATTCCATTTTCTACAAATGGGATAATAAAGCTACATAATCTCCTGTCAACTTGTGAAGGTGGTGGAGTCCAGCCTGCCAATCAGGTCGCAGGTTGATGACCTCATTTGGAAGCTTGAAGGACATAAATAGCTCCTTGGAGGTGGGGCATACTCACTCCCTGTGAGACATTCCTATTGACAAGACAGATGGAGCTAAGCTAGAGCCCTGGAGCTAATGGAATCACGTGGAGACCCCTGCCAACGCTGAGATTCTTCCACCCACTGACCTATGATCTTTCTGCATTCATTACATGCGTCATTACATGTGTTACAGGAGTCTGAAGAGGAATTTATAGATTGGTATCAGACATATGGGCTAATATCGGACTTATGGACTTGATATGGACTGAGCTGGGATGTTTTCTTAATACACTATTACTCTTTGATATAAAGCTTTTTTTTTAAGGATCCAGGTGACAGATGTTTCTTAGCCATGACATTTGAATAACAAATTCAGCATGAGGAAACTAAGTTTTTTTTCTTTCCTGAAATATGAATATAAGGTTAAACTACAGG